TGGGGTGGATGGCTATTAAATATGTGCCATTTTGGGATTTGCCAAAATGTCTCAGGGATATTTCACATATTAATGGCTTTTGGCTTTGCCATGTACAGTAAAGAGAAAATTCCAGGAAAGTTTTGCTGCCAAATATTGCCTGGCTCAGAGGACAGAGAATGGTTGAGGTGGTGCAGACAGGACAGCTTTCAGCTCTTGCTGTGGGAATCTACAGATCTTTTCCAGCTTGACGGAATGGGAGGAGGAGAAAGGAGCAGCCACTCACCAGGCTGAAGATAGATCTTAAAAAAGTCCAGAGCAAGATCTGTAAGAACTTAAAAAGTGCTATTGTTTTTAACAACTGGTACAAGTAGTGAATTTTAAGCTGCTGCTATCAAACCAGGTCATGTCATGTCCTGCACAATCCTCTCCATCCCAGGCAGTGTTCCCAGGACTAAAGGACATGGACTGAAAAGCAAGGTGTGATGTGAGGTTGTGTTGATACAACCTGGAGCATCCTTGCAAAACAGGTGGCGCAGGGACAGAGCAGCAAAATGCCATCAGCACCCCAGGCACAGGGACTGGAGCAGGCTCTGGAGTTGTACCAGCTGGGACCCTTCAGTAAATATGGCCAGCGTGGTGGGAAATGGAAAACTCATGGTTTTTCAGGAAGCAGGATGGTGTGGGGTGAGCAAAGAGGTGCTCTGATTGCCCCTGGCACAATGTACCACCCTGCTGAACTGCAGCCAGGGATGCAGGCAGCCACAGGCACTCTGAGCGAGAGAGGTCTGTGGTTATTTCACATTAACTTGCATTACAGGACAGTAAGGCTCTTGTGTTTATCAGCTTTCAGCTGAGGATTGAGGCTGGTGTGGCTAAAGACAATATAAAAGTTTTCCCTGTAAAAATCCTGTAATTGAAGATCTCAAAGCATTTTCCAGGCATTAATAAGTAAAGCCTCAAGTACAGCTACCAGTATTTCAGTCCCCAACGTTCAGCAGTGCTTGTAAGTGCTGTTAAAATAATAACAGTTGTATCAATGCTCTTGGCAATCCCAGAAATATTAATGGCATCTTCCCTGTCAACAACCTCCCCCCCTCCAGGCTCTGCTTTCTTCTCATGGGCAGGAAGCAAAATTTTGCAAGGGAAGAGCTTGCTGGGGAGTTTGGGTCATTTGGGATTTTGCTTTTGTGGGTTTTTGTGTGTGTCCAAGGCAGGGCACCAGCCAACTGGAGTGCTTTCTTGTGCTAAGAGGTGTTCTTCCTGATCTCTAAAACATTTGGATGGATGGTTTTATTTTTTTCTTTACCTTTCTTACTGGAATGTGTTTGTGGTCACAGACAACTAATGAAGAGAACAAAGGAGAGATAATGTTGTAAAATCATTAGAAAAGGTAGGCACTGTTCAAACAAATGCGTTTTGCTATTAAAGTGCCATTTTCAGTCTTATTTGCAGCCCCTACTGTTCCTTACACTGGCTCTTCACTGGGGACAAAAAATTCATTAAATGGCTCTTCATTTTGCAATATCAATATGTTTTAAGTCAAATTGTGCATTCTTTGCTGTTAATTCTCTTTTAAACACAAAGGACCATCAGAAAGTTTAGCTGCAGGGGGGCTACAGGCAAGAAGGAAGATACAAACATCCCTCTTATGAGAAATAATAATAATAATGAATTCTTTTAAAGTTTAAAGGAAAATAGTGGCTTTTTTGCACCAAGACTGTAAGACCTGTTCATTGATCTTTTCAAAGAAGCAACAACAATAAGGAGAAATGAGAATGGAAGGAAATGAAAGCAAGGGAATAAAAGCCGTGAGGAGTTGGGGTACGTGGAAGCAACAATCCAGAATCTGACAGAATATGTGGATATTGATGAAGCCTGGGATGCAACATAGATGTGATCCCAGGGAAAGGCCTGGCTGTATTACCTGACTTGACTATTAACTTTGCTTAACCACCAAGGATTTTTATTGAGAAATCCTTTTTTATCTTTATCTTTTTTGTTGTTTTGTTTGGTTTTTTTTTTTTTTTAATTCAAAACACATCTCGTTTGTCAGACTGCTCACAGCTCATACAGATTTCTGGGTGGATTTGTTCTATAAGGGAGAAGTCTCAGCTGAAATGGGACCTTGAATATTTTCCAACCTTTCACCAGGATCGTGGTGGAAGGGAGACAGATGTGCTGCCCCTGTGGAGCACAGAAGTTTTGTGTAGAGGTTTGTGGTTTGAATCAAATTGAGCAACTAATGATTTGTGTTATGAATGTGTCTGCTGGAATGTTTTAATCTGCAAGTGACAAGTGGTTCTCCTGACAATCAGTGTAAGGGGCAGAGTGCCCATAGCACAGTGTCTAAAGAATAATTTCAGCAATACCCATGGCAAGAAAGACAGGGAGAACCTAGTGAAGAGGCTTTTACACATTGTGGAGTTAAGCAATTTAAATAAAAATCATATTTGTTCATGTTTAAGGAGAAGGAAAATGAGAAGGGTCATTGAAAAGTTCAATTTGCTGTCTTTCCAGTGAGAATAGACCCAGTCTGGAATATTTAACTTAAAAATCACATCCGAACAGATTTTTTACATTTGATGCACACTTGGTAAATTCCAGGTGTCTGATTACACCTGGTCCTCTAGCAGGGTGCAGAGCAGGGCACCTCATACTGGACAAAATGTTTGCCCAAGTTTAGAAACAAAACCTGTTCTGTGTGGTTTTGGTGCAGGACAGGCATCAGTTCCTGTCTGCCATGATGATAGAATGGTGAGTAGAATGGTGAGTAGAATGATGAGCAGAAACACTGTTCTGGCTCCTGGCTGAAGGAGAGGAGCAGTGCTGGGCTGAATCCACATTCCCAGCCATCTCCTGGTGAGGCTCCATAAACTCATTTGGAGGGGAGATTTCCCTGACCTGATCCATCAGTGCCACAGCTGTGAACAACACAGGAAATTCAGCATGGGGAAGGTGCAGCCCTGTGGTTTCATGGCTGTGGGGTCACCAGCAGAGAGAATTAGCAAAGCTGTCACCCTGAGCCGTGTCTGTTGGTGGGGAGGGGATGCCAGCACTGCCCATGACTGCTTCCAGCAGGAGTGGAAGCCATGGAGATGTCCAGCAGATGTGTGCAGGAGCCAGCCTTGTTATCCTGTGACTGGGGGTTTGGGCTCCTGTTGGGCACAGACCAAAGTGAGTCCTGGAACAAGACAGATGATGAACTTGGGCTCTAAAATCCTCTGTGCTCCTCTGCCATTTTGGCCAGTGATCCTGCACCATATGTCAAGTGGGCTGCAAATTCCCATAAAGCAGCAGTTTGCCACACCAGACCCATAACAAGGGAGGTTGTAAAAGGAATAAATGGCAAGTGGAAGGTGGAAATCGTGCCAAATGTACAGCACAGCCTTATTAACAGCAGCACAGCAGCCAAGGGGAGGCAGGAGTTGCATATGGGAGTAGGACTGTGCATGGGGAAAATGGAGAGAGGCAGCACTGCCAAAGGGTTTTTTCTCCTCTTTTTGCCACTTCTGAAACACTTCAGACATTCTGGGGTTTTGGAATGAGAGCTTTGTCTTTGTTTTTGGAACCGTGTTTTTGTATTTCTGTATAGAAGGCAAATCTGCTATTTTGCTCCTTTCTTTGCTGAATCCTTGCTGTGCAAAACCACCTTAGGTGTTGTGTGGATGTAACCTGCAATCATAAGATCATCAGACCATAGAATGGTTTGGGTTGGAAGGGACCTGAAAAATCATCCAGTTCCAGCCCAGTCTGCAGCTGTGAGCCTGGAAGGAAACAAGGAGCTCCGAAACAAGGAGCACTCTTAACATGATCTCTTTCTGCTGTAGGAGAAACAGTCCCAGGCATCTCCAGCAAGGCCCAGAAATGCTGATTTTTATAATGGGAATAACTATAACTTACAGTGGTCCCATAGGCTAAGTACTGTTTTTTGAAAGCTTTTTAACTCAGTCAATGCCATTTTGCCTAAATCACAAAGTCTTTAGGGAGCAGATCAATTTTTTTTAAAAAATGCCATTTGTAAATTTAGAAATGTTTTTACTATGACTTTAGCAATACATTTCAAATGGTCATTTCAAACTCACTTTCTGTTTTTATTTCTAAGTAAAACCAGGATGCAATATTTCAGCTTGTCTGAAATAAAACAGTAATTTGTAACAATTTCATGTTAACAACTTCATTTCCCAGGAATAATTTAATCATTGGTGGGGAAGGGAGGCTGCTTTTCAAATCCTAACTGAGCCCACAGTTTTCAGTGTTGGAATTTCTGTCAGAACAGAAATTCATTTTGATAGATTTGGAAAGTTATTGGGGTTGGCTTCCATGTTTAGACTATGCATTTTTCCATTTGTCAACATTTCTTGAAAAAGACTGGATTTGTGGCAAAATTATGATTGAGGACATTACTGAATTTCTCTGGAGAATTTAAGACTTCAGTGTATAAGGAGTGTAATAACTGACATGATGAGGCAGTAGCCAACAACAAAAAAAAAACAAACAGGGGCAAAAAAAGGAAAAAGAAAAAGAGAAGATAAACCAAAGAGCACTTGCTGATTAAATTTAATCCTGTCTGGCCATAACTTCTTAGCCTTTCTCCTGCTGAGTAATATTTGATTGATTTTACTGAGGCACTTTAAAAGTACAGTTCAGTTCACTGATACTGCTGGTTGAATTTCCTCAAACAACACACTCTTATTTTAGTCTCATTTTACTGATGGTTTTCTATCTCACACCAGCACTAAAGAAGGAGCTGTGTGTAATTTTAAGTGTTTACACATTACTGGACCTAAAGACATAACTTCCTACCTACCTGTACCCTACAGAATAGCAAACCTGAGTAGTTCAGACAAAGTCCATGAAAAAGGAAGAATAGATCAGAGAAATCACAACAGGGGCTGAAAGAAAAAGGGGACAGAAAAATCCATTACAAATGAAAATAATAAAGTCTCTTAAACTTTGAGGAAAAAATAGAGGCTTGTTTTGTACAAAGATAGTGAGATGTGTTCATTGATCTTTTTAAGAGTCAAGAAGAAATTGGCCAGCAGCTGAATAAAAGAAAATGAAGTTCCCTTAATACAATCCATGGAAAGACAACTCAGGTAAATTGATCAGTGCAGCACAGATAATTTCTAACCTTTCCCTTCTTCAGAGAAGATGTTTGGGGTTTTGTTCTGATTTTTTTCTTCCCTCCCAAAGAGTATAAAAAGCACACAGCACCAATTTCAAGTGGTTTTGGATGGCTTTTCTAGCAATAACTGGAGAATTTCTGGAACTAAGCATGGTAATGGCTTTTCTTCCATCTCCTTCCTCCATCACACCCTTGTTCCCTGAAAAATATTGATACACTGAGAAAGTTTGAGGGCTTTTTTTTTCACTTTTTTTAAAAAACTCTCAATTACTTCCTTCTCTGCCTCCTCCTTCGAAGAGATTTTTGAACATTTGGCAATTAAAAAATCTGAGTTATTACTGTGATATCTCTGTATACCAGGGAAACCTTATGTTAACTGAAGTGCAGGAAGAGCCCAAAGGCCAAAAGATGTTCAGTCCTTGCCAGCCCCCGCTCCAAGCCCGGCCCTTTACCTTGCACACTAAATCTGCCTGTAGAAGTGGCAGAGCTTTAATTTTTAGTCTTTGTTTTAGCTAAATGTCAGATGTCATTGCAGGAGAGTGTTTGAGGCCTGAAACTGCTGCTGCACAGCTCCAGCATCCTTTATCCATAGGAATTATGCTGGAAATAGGCTGAAGGCCCCAACTTCCCTCCTTTTAAAAACTAAATATTCCCAGCTCCCAGAAATGTGAATAAGAAACATACTTGATTATGGTAAAATAAACCTGCAAACTCTCCAGCTATTTGGAGATATTTCTTTTCCAACTCTGAAAAGATCTCTGAAAATCAAATGCATGAAAACCAAACTCGGCACTTGGGATTTGGGAGCTTCCCACAGCATCGAGTGCAAATCTAAAGCTATTCTAATTTTGCTTACTGGAATAAAATGCTGCTATTTGCATGTTAGCCACAAATTAACAATTAGAGTGTGGCAGTTAATGAAAGAAAAGAAGCAATGCAGCACCTTTGTGAGCAGGCTGTAACCCATGTTTATAGAGAGAGCTTTGTAGAGCACCCCTGGGTTCTGTAAATGAAATGGCCTTTGCATATGCTGCATAATAGTCAAAACATGAGGCTTTGTAGTCACATCCCCAAAATGCAATCTATCTTATGAAGCTGCATCACATAACCAGCAGCATAATAATTTCCTTCTCCATGAGCAAGTTGTTCCTCACCCTTGAGGCAGTGCTCATTCAGGTCAGGTATGGAGTTATGTGAAGGTCACTGTGGGAAAGATCAAACCACACCTGCCTGGATCACACCAGCTCTGCTGATGAAAAGGTACATTCCCTGCCTGGCTTGCACACAGAAATACTCACTGAGATCTTACACAGAAAGGGAAAATGTTCCACAGAATGATTGGGCACTAAACTCTGCAGAAAAGTCCTCGAAACAAATCATTATCACAAATATTTTAGTACAGACGTCTCTCTGACACAGCTTTCACTGCATGCAAATATTCAAGCTCATGCTTAAGCTGGTTCTGATGTCCCAGTGCTGGACCTGCAGAGGCCATTAGTGATTCAGAGCAGGATATTATCCACTGACAGATAATCATTGTCTGTTCAGAAACTTCTCCTTTTACAGTACAGCTGGTGTCTATCAGCTGTGCTAGAGGGGTGCAGGGAGATTTGGACAGTGTAGAGGGGTTTTTAAGAGGAAGTTTAGAGTAAATATCAGCAATCACCATTTGAGTAAAATCAGCAACAAGCCAAGACTTTCCTTGCTCCTGAATAGGAAAGGATTAATCGATTTCCCTGTCCTTTATTACTTATCTCTACACAGAATCATTCATGAATCTTTAAATTTAAATCCTAGAATATGTTCTAAATGCTTACCTAGATAGTTATTTTAGTTTTTCGTATCACTAAACATAAATACACGTATTCTAGAAAAGCAAATGGATTAATTAAAGGAAGTGTTAAATGAGATATTTATAATTTTCATTCAGATGAAATAATCCTGACTTATACCATGTCACATCACACAGACTTCTTGATGTGTCTGTAAGGGACACACAAATAAAGAGATTCATTTCTTCACAAACCCAGTGAGCTTCAAATTTTACAAGGTTGTGTGAAGTCAGAGTCACGGGGGATTTTGGGAGCTAAGATCACATGGAAGATGTTTTATTACATGATGGGAAAACTGGGAAAAACTGAACTTTCAACCTTTTTTGTGAAAGCATATGAATACAAAAATCAAGCTGATATACAAAAGGAACTAATCATCAAGAAAGACAATTGTTAGTGACTTGTGAAAGAAATCACCAACAGATAAGAAACAATTGGAAAATATTACTGGTTTTCTGCATCTACTGCATTTAAGACTGGAAAGCAATTTTACTCAGTGAGCTTTATGAGACAATCAGGGATGTTAAACAAGAAAGAAATCAGGTCTTCACCTCTCTGGGTTTTTAGGAAGAAAGGAAAGAGTATGTTGGTTAACACTGGCAGACCTTTTCTGCATAGCACAAGAAATAAAGATTTGTGTAATGGTGCCATCAGTGACAAGCACCTGGAGAAGCCAGAACCAGGGGATAAAAATGAATTTGTGGCCTCTTGGAACTTTTTTCCCTCCAAGATGCCTCTGCCAAAATAGTTCCGTTTACATCTGAGTACCTTGCCAAAGCCAAGAAATTATCAAGGCCTTTCTGGAAGTAAATTTTATGCATACTGTCGGTAAATGCACAGATGAAGATAATACTGAGGGATGGGCACTGGTGATGGAAAAGGTCTTCTGAGCCCTGCAAAAGTGGAAGACTTTTTCTTTCCTCATCCCTTGCTTGAGCCATGCCATCAGACAGATCTCCAGCTAGAAAATAAGTTTTTTTCCTCCTGATTTTGACGTGAGGGTAAAATATTCTGCACCAGTCTATTTGCTAATACTGCTGCAGATTGTATTTTACTTCCCCTGTTTCCCCACAGTGCCTGGCAGCCTTTCCCCTTCCTGGTTAAGGAGATGGGAGTTCTGGACTGCTTCTCAGATAAATTGCTGTAGATTCATCATTCTCCATCTCTGTCCTGAAGAAGCAGTCTCACATCTGATGTTAATCTTAAAACCATATTCTATATAATAAAACTCCTTGTGAAAGCTCTCCCTACATCATTATATGTTAGAATGACAATATTAATCATCCAATGGCATTTGCACACCTACAGCATCATTCCCAAAATCCTCTGAATTCTTTTTTAATGTGAAACCTGGAAGGTTTAATGAAGCTTTTAATGGACTGCATCAAACACCATTCCCAGCCCCTTCCCAATTCATGAAATGGATATATAGTCCTTGTTGGAAGAAACACCCTTTTATTTGGCAACAGGTGGAATTCCTGAGAGGGGTTTCCAACTATCTCTGATTTCTGTCAATTAGAAATAGAAGTGAATCCAGAAGTGGTTTCTGTTTTGGTTTTTTTTGTTTGGTTGGTTTGGGGGGTTTGGTTTTTGGGTTTTATTGTTTTAGGGTTTTTTTGTTCTTTTGTAATAAGCATAAAATAAGCTAAACCCATCCAAAAATCTTAATCCATTTTGGTACCCAGGCACAGTTCCTGCAGAGCCCAGCACCCTGGCAGACCTTTATAGAGGGAGAAGTCTAGGTAGACTTGTGTTAGTCACGTAGAATGAGGAGTCAAATTACAGTAAGAAGATTATAAACTGAGTTTATTTTTTCCTTTTTCTCAGTTTATGCCACAAATGTACTACTTTTGACAGAATGTTGGTTATTTTGCCATTTTTTTCCCCTGTCTGTTTAATAGAAAAATCCAATTATTATGTAAAGAGAGCCTTGCAATAATTGTCACAAACAAGTTAGCATAACAATGAGGAGCAACAACTTTCTGAAGTCAAAGAAAGCACTGATTTATGACTGTCTCTGAGGTGTGATTGATATAGAATGTTTTGAAGGAAAATTTTTAACATTTCTTCTTCATTTTACAGCTGCTCCCTCAGATCATCCTAGCTGAAGCATGTTTGCAAAGGAAAGTTGTTTTGGAAGAGGGAACTTTTCCACAAATTCATTTTCTTTTCTTTAAAGAAGGGAGAAAAAAAAACCTCCCAACCGAGCCTACAAAAGCCATTATTTAAACAGCCTCCTTTTTAAAATGTTTCCGGCAGATGTTTATGCAGAGAATGTGCTGGAGCTCCTTCAGTAAGACACAGAAGTGACATTTCTTGAGGGTTTTAGCTGGAGAATTTGTCTTTCACATCATGTCTTTAAACATCTGCAAAAGGCAACAGAATCTTTATTATGCTGCTAACTTGAAAAAAGGCGCAATGCACAGTCCTGAGTCCTTAAAAGATGGTTTTTAATGGGACTGACAGATGAGAAATATCCAACTCTAATGTTTTCCTTCAGTAGAAATTCACCCCTTGACCTTATGGCTCCAGAGTATGGCTGCTGCCTTCTGAAAAAGAACATTTCCTTCCATTCAGATGTGCTTTCCATGGTTTTGTTGTTTTGTTTTTCCATATTGCTCAGTTATCTGCTTTAGGGGAAGGCTTCAACATCGGGATTCAAGCAAAAATAAGAATATAAATATTGCAAGAGCACTTGTGCTAGGTCTGCTTTATGGCACTTGTGCTTCCAACCCTCTTTTAATTTCCTCAGCTGGATATTTTTCTTCTTCCTCACAAAAATCAAAGCTGCCTTTTCTTTTAAATGGATTTTGAAGGAGTGGTGTAATTCAGTTTTCCTATCCTTTGGCTTTAGTTTTGTTTATTTGCAGAAAATACAGACTGGGACCATTGCTCAGGGCTGCCCAGGTTGGCCCTTCCCTTCTACCTTACAAAATAACCTTTTTAAGAAGCATCCAATCCTTCTTTTGGTTTCCTGGTTTGCTTCAGATTCAGGTTGGAGGGGGGCAAGGTTTGATGGTGGGGTTTTGTATTTGGCTTCTATTGTATTTCAGTTGTTGAAGCTTTTTTTCCCTCCTCCTCCTTCTTTTGCTCTTTCTTTTTTCCCTTTTTTTTTTATTTTTCCTCCCTGAAGGGTTTT